CAGGGAGCCTGATGCGGGACTCGATCCAGGGACTCCAGGATCATGACCTGAGCCGAAGGCAGTCGCTTAACCAACTGAGCCACCCAGGCGCCCGGTGTTTAATTCTTATACTTCTTTTGTTAAATATATTCCTAAATATTTTATTCTTTTTAATGCTGTTATAAATGGATCTTTTTCTTAATTTCATTTTCAGATGTTTCACTGCAAGTGTATAGAAATACAATTGATTTTTGTATATTGATCTTGTATCCTGCAGTCTTGTTGGACTTGTTTTTTAGTTGTAATAGTTCCTTTTGTATTCCTCAGACCTGTCTATATAAAGAGAAATTTTATATAAACCAGAAATAGTTTTATTTCTTCCTTTCCAATCTGATGCCTTTTATTTATTTTATTGCCTAATTGTCTTTGCTAGAATATTCTATGCCATCTTGAATAGAACAAATGAATATGGACATCCTTGTCTTATTCCTAATTTGGGGGAAAAGCATTCAGTCTTTCACCATTAAGTATAATGTTAGCTGTGGGGGTTTTATAGATGTTCTTTTATAGAAGATCTTTATAGATGTTCAGGTTGAGGAAGTTCTCTTTTCTGCTTAGTTCGTTGAGTGTTTTTATTATGAAAGAGTGTTGGAAGCTCCTTTAAATTAAACTGCTTTGCTCTCAGGTCAAACACTTCCCTCACCACTGTGCCTTTGGTTAGTCTGCTTTATTTCCTTGAGGTAGACATTCTCTCAAACCTCTCTAATCTAAATTCTATCTACCACCATGTATATTTCTTTTTTCAAAATTATTTTATTTTTTTCCATGTGTATTTTTTATTTTCTTACTATACACTGAACTTTTTTTTTTAAAGATTTTATTTATTTATTTGAGAGAGAGAAGGCACATGAGAGGGGGGAGGGTCAGAGGGAGAAGCAGACTCCCTGCTGAGCAGGGAGCTCGACGTGGGACTCGATCCCAGAACTCCAGGATCGTGACCTGAGCCAAAGGCAGTCGCTTAACCAACTGAGCCACCCAGGCACCCTATACACTGAACTTCTTACAGGCAGGACTCAATTTGTCTTTGTACTTCTCTAACATCTATCTTAAAATCTTTTTCATTTATTGAATAAACAAATGAGGGGATATATCTGGTAAAGTATTTGAGAACCTTTCAAAAGAAAAGATTCAGAGTATAAGGCTCAGAGAATTACTTAGAAGCATATCACATCCTTCTACAAAAATTAAATTGATTCTAAGGAATAAGTAAAAATGTGATGTGACTGGGATGCCTGGGTGGCTCGGTTGGTTAAGTATCTGCCTTAGGCTCAGTCCATGATACCGACGTCCTGGGATCGAGTACCATATTGGGGTTGTTGCTCAGTGGGGAGCCTGCTTCTCCCTCTGCCTGCTGCTTCCCCTGCTTGTCTCTCTCTGACAAATAAATAAATAAATAAAAATCTTAAAAAAAAAAATGTGATGTGGCCCTCTTCCAGAATGAGAGTGTCTTCTAAAGCTCTGAGGAGCAGTCTACCATGGGTAAACTCTCCTCTGTAGTTGGCATGTTGTCGGGTGTAATTTAGAGCCTCCCTAGATGGTGGACTTGTTATGAATTTTATATATATATATATAAATATATATATAACATATATATATAATTTTTTATTATAAAACTAAGATTAGTGGGGGCATAATTTATTAATGAAATTATTTGACCTCATTGGTAAGAGTGAAAAGTATTTGTTCATAAAGCCTCATGTCTCAGCTCAGAGTAAATCCAGGAAGTGAGTAACCTGAATTTAATAAAGTTAAATGGTGGATAGCCAAAGCTAGCTTTGAAATCATTAGAATTAGACTGGAAACAGCCTGGAATACCAACATTGTCTTCCAGCTGGGTAGATCCCTTGGGGATCTGAGAGACATCAAAGGTCTTCTGCTTAAACAACAAAACAAACAAAACTTCCTTACCAGCCTGTTAGTCCTCCTCAAAATCCATATATTAGTCATTCTTTGAGATGAAAGCATTTGAAAGCTTCTGTTGAATATAAAAAACCCTAAGACCTGCAGGCTAAATAGATTGATTTTGATTAGTTGTTTATCTAGTCAGTCAGAGAGTGGGCATAGGCAAGATATGTTTTGGTTAAAAATGGGGTTGCAAGAAAGGTCTAGAGCTGGGGTTCCCTGAAATTGTGTGCCAAATTGTGTGTCTCAGTGTATTCTCCTTAGGTTCCATACATAGTCTAAGTGGACTGGATGTCAAGATGATTGGGAACAGCAGTTCCTAAACCCAGTCCTAGCTGAATCAGAATTCAGGGACCTCTAGACACATGGATTCTAACCCTGGAGATTCTAATTGAGTAGGTCTGGCATGAGGCCCCAAATCAGTATTTTCTTGTTTTGTTTTTTTTTAAGTTTTTATTTAAATTCCAGTTAATTAACATACAGTGTAATACTACTCTCAGGTGTATAATATAGTGATTCAACACTTCCATACATCACCTGGTGCTCATCACCTGGTGCTCATTCTTTTTAATGCTATTATAAATGGATCTTTTTCTTAATTTCACATCACAGCAAATGCTCTCCTTAATCCCCATCACCTATTTCACCCATTCCCCCCCGCAACACACATCCCCTCTGGTAACCATCAGATTGTTCTCTATAGTTGAGTCTGTTTCTTGGTTTGCCTCCCTCTCAGTTTTGTTTTCCCTTTGCTTGTTTGTTTTGTTTCTTAATTTCCACATATGAGTGAAATCATATGGTATTTGTCTTTCTCTGACTCCTTTTGCTTAGCTCACTAGCTCCATCCTTGTCATTGCAAATGGTACTAAATCAGTGTTTTTAAGCTTCTGAGGTGACGTGCACAGGTAGCCCTCTCTGGGTCCACCGGGGCTAGTTGTTAACACTAAACACTCACTGAACACCTTCCACTTAAGCAACTCACAAATGACCCTCTCCTTTCTCTCTGAACAATCCCCACAGCATAATGATCACTTACTGGCTACAGATAGCTTACTCTCTTGTATGCCAGTAGGCTTTTTCCCATCGGTGTAGTTGTATTCCTACCCATACTTAAGTGTGTGAGTTCACAAGCCTGTTATGGCAGTTACCAGCCTTATTTTAACCAAAAATGTAAGGACAACATAAACATGAGTGTAAAGAAATAAAGTCATAGTTTATATGAGGACTGAATTGAATGCTTTTGAAAGACTTGCTAAAAGACAAATTGCTAAACAAAATTGCTGTTGAATTAGGTATAGTTGAAACAACTATTGTATATTACGTTGTTTTAAATTCTCACTGTACTTTTTTTAAGATTTTATTTTTAAATAATTTCTATACCCAACGTGGGGCTCGAATCTACAACCCCAAGATCAAGAGTCACATTCTTTACCAACGGAGACAGCCAGGTGTCCCTTAAATTTTCACTGTATTTTAAAATAGTGATTCTCAGGGACGCCTGGGTGGCTCAGTTGGTTGGGCATCTGCCTTCAGCTTAGGTCATGATCCCATTGTCCTGGGATCGAGTCCCGCATCGGGCTCCTTGCTCGGCGGGGAGCCTTCTTCTCCCTCTCCTTCTGCCTACTGCTCCCCCTGCTTGTGATCTCTCTCTCTCTCTCTGACAAATAAATAAATAAAATCTTTAAAAAAAAAAATAGTGATTCTCAGCCGGGGGCAATTTTGCCCTCTAGCAGACATTTAGACTGTTATTTTTGATTCTCATGATAGGGGGGATGACACTGGCATCTAGTGGATAGAGAATATCCTACAACAGACAGGATAACCTCCCACCCCAAAGAATTATCTGGTCCAGAATGTGAATTATGATTGAGAAATCCTGTTTTATTTTATTTTTTTATTTTTATTTTTTTTTAAGATTTTATTTATTTATTGACAGAGAGAGACACAGCGAGAGAGGGAACACAAGCAGAGGGAGAGGGAGAAGCAGGCTTCCCCGAGGAGCAGGGAGCCCGATGCGGGGCTCGATCCCAGGACCCTGGGATCATGACCTGAGCTGAAGGCAGATGCTTAACGACTGAGCCACCCAGGTGCCCCAAGAAATCCTGTTTTAAAGAAACCAAAACAGGAAATCATGGACTTATTATGTGTGGACTTATTATGGGTATCATTTTTGTAGTGATAGCACAAAGAACTCTTAATTACAGTTGACCCTTGAATAATGTGGGGGTTAGGGAGTACTGATCCCCCCTCCCATAGTCAAAAATCTGAGTGTAACTTTTGACTCTAAAATTTATTTATTTATTTTTAATTTTTTTTTTTATTTTAAAGATTTTATTTATTTATTTGAGAGAGAGAATGAGAGAGAGAGAGCATGAGAGGGAGGAGGGTCAGAGGGAGAAGCAGACTCCCTGCCAAGCAGGGAGCCCGATGCGGGACTCGATCCCGGGACTCCAGGATCATGACCTGAGCCGAAGGCAGTCGCTTAACCAACTGAGCCACCCAGGCGCCCTTGACTCTAAAATTTAACTGCTCATAGCCTACTGTTCACCAGAAGCCTTACTGATAACATAAAGAGTTGATTAGAGGCACCTGGGTGGCTCAATTGGTTAATCATCTGACTCTTGATTTCGGCTCAGGCCATGACCTCAGGGTCATGAGATCAAGTCCCTCCTTGGGCTCTGACCTGGGTGTGGAGTCTGCTTAAGATTCTCTCTCTCCCTCTGCCCGTCCTGCACTCCTCCCTCTCTCTCCTTCTCTACAAAAAAATTAAAAAAAGAGTTGATTAATACACATTTTGTGTATGTGTTACATCCTTATCTTACCTGTATTTTTATAAGTTAGAGAAAAGAAAATGTTATTAAGAAAATCATAAGGAAGAGAAAATACATTTAAACCCATGTTGTTCAAGGGTCAGCTGCAGTTGAAACATTCAAAGGAAAGGTCCTATCTCTTGTATCAGTTAGGATTAGATTCGGCTGCAAGTAACAAAGACTTAAAATAGGAGCGCATGGTGCTGCCATCCTACAATGTGGCCTGTGAGAGCGGCCCTACAAGGCATCATCTTGCTGAGCCCTGGGGAGCACATCAAGCTCCGAAATGAGGGCTGAACGGAGGATGGAAAGGGTCAACAAAACCTCTTGTACTTTAGAGGTTGGCCCCTGGCCAGCACTGTTTAGGTCTTTATAAATCCAGATAATATCAATAGAAACATGTGTTGCATTTATTCAGTGCTAAAACAGGGTGACTCTTTTATTCTGAAGTGAGGAAAAGTGATCACGATTTACTAAAACAAGTATATATATATATAAATGTGAATATATAAAACAGAAAGGTAGCGGGCCATATGTTTGACCTTTGTTAAAGTGAGACTCTGCACACCATAGTCTGATCACTATGACCATGTCTAGTCCTGGCCCTGCTGGAGATGAGCAGCTAGCAGCAAGATATTTTATCTGCCTGGCCTCAAATCCATCTAATCACAGGATTGAGTGCCATGATCCCCATCAGTTTCTTGGGGCTGCTGTCATAAAGCACCACAAACTTGGGGGCTTAAACAGCAGAAATTGATTGTCCCCCAGTTCTGGAGGGTAGAGGTCCTACATCAAGGTGGTGGTAGAATTGGTTCCTCCTGAGGGCTGGGTGGCGGGGAGGGGAATCTGTTCCTTGCCTTTCCCCTAGGTTCTGGTAGTCCCACGGGTTCCTTGGCTTGTAAATGGCATTCTCTGTGCCTTCACGTGATCTTCTCTCTGTTTGTGACTCTATGTCCAAATTTTCCCTTTTTATAAGGACACCAGTCATATTGGATTAGGGTCCATTCTACTGACCTCATTTTAACTCAATTCCTTATATAAAGACCCTATGTCCAATAAAGTCACTTTCTGAGGTACTGGTGGTTATGACTTTAACATCACTTTTTGAGTGGGTACAATTCAACCCATAACAACCCCTAAGGAAGGTCCAGTTATGAACCTGTTGCTTTCTTTGGGTGCTCATGGTTACATGCCAGTATCTTAAAGGTCCAGAATAAAACATTAGATTCCTGAGTTGTCTTGACATTATGTCAAGGGATTAAGGTGGAATGTAACAACATTAATGTGGAGATAGTAGTAGAGTGCAAATTACAAAGCTAGAGGATTGGAAAGTGGGTATGGTGGCCTGTCTTGGACTTTCATTTAAAAATCAGCCAGACTGGGGCACTTGGGTGGCTCAGTCATTTGGGCGTCTGACTTTTGATTTTGGCTCAGGTCATGATCTCAGGGTCGTGAGATAGAGTCCTGCATCGGGCACTGCTCTGGGTGTGGAGTCTGCTTGAGATTTTCTCTCTCTCTCTCTCCGTCTCTCCCTCCTATCTCCCCTCCCTTTCTAAACAAATAAGTAAAATTAAATTAAAAAATAATGAATAAATAAAAATCAGCCAGACTGGGGAGGTCCTTTTCTTACATAGTAGGTATTAAATCATTGCTTCAATGTTGCATCTGGTTTTTGCATTAGAAAAATCATTTTGTGTGTGGAAAACAAATATTTTTGTAGGATGTTTCTAGGAAATCTAGGAGACTTGGGACTTTGTCTTCCCCTCAGCTATTTTGTTTGTTTGTTTTTTTTTTTAAAGATTTTTTATTTATTTATTTGACAGAGAGAGACATAGCGAGAGCAGGAACACAAGCAGGGGGAGTGGGAGAGCGAGAAGCAGGCTTCCTGCCGAGCAGGGAGCCCGATGTGGTACTCGATCCCAGGACCCTGGGATCATGACC